TGCACCCGGCTCAAAAAGCCTACACCTGTTTATCCTCGAGAGGCACCCGAGGCTTGGCAAGCTCGCGAATAGATCTTGCTCTCGTGTCGAAGGAACTGATGGGCTTGACTACAACGGCCGAAATAGCTGCAATCAGCCCGTGTAAATCCTTTGATCACAGAATGATAACTCTGGGTCTCTCYTTTCACACTCAAATCAAGAGAGGCCYGGGCTTCTACAAGCTTAACACTTCGCTGCTGCAGCTCACAAAATTCAAGGAAATGGTGCAGGAATTTTGGCAATACTGGCAATCCACCAAACCACAGGCTCAACCGGAAGCAGCTCAAACCGTGACCTGGTTCAATGACGGGATTGCCTGCCCGAGAGACAGAGCCAAGAAATTCTCCATCCAGACGGCGAGAGACCGCAAGGCGATACTCGATCGCCTTATGCGAGAGCTTGAAGAATGGGATGCGACCATCACAGACGACCCGCAACACACCCTTTCCTTTGAAAAGCTACAAGCAGCAAGAGACCACCTTCAGGCCTATATAGACAGACAATCGCACGCATGGAGGATTCAGGCTAGAATAAAAAGAGAACACACCGATGGAACGATGGCAAAATCTTTCTTCGCTAAAGCGAAAGCCCGCATGCGGGCCTCAGCTGTCCCGCGCCTTAGGCACCCCCTGGATGATGGTGCTCCGGCTGCTACCAATGCTTATGCAATTACTGATTACGCAGCCAAATACTACAAGGACCTGTTTACATCGGATACCCCCAAAAAAAATCCCAACAACGTCCGGAAGGCCAGGGATGAACTGCTCCAAACAGTGCACTCACGCTTGACACAGGAGCAAAAATCTGACTTGGATAGGCCGCTTGTGCAGGAAGAGATATGGGATGCCCTGCGGGACATGGACGATGAGAAGACTCCAGGAATTGACTCCTTCCTGAAAGAATTCTGGGTGTCGTTCTGGGACCTCTTCAAAGATGACCTCATGGATTATATAAGGCAGTGCAAGAGGGAGACTGTTTTGGGGGAATGATCAGCCAAGCAACGCTACTCTATAAAAAGGGAGACAAAGAGGACACCAGAAATTATAGACCGATCACCCTCCTCCCGGTCCCCTACAAATTGGTGGCCAAAGCCCTCACCATCCGCCTGCTGCCATACATGAATCTGTTGATCCATCCGGATCAAACAGGATTCATGCCGAACCGTAACATCCAAGACAATATCCTAATGGTCAACGAGACCATTAAATATGCACGCCAGCGCATGACCCACGCAGCCATACTATTCATAGACTTCGAGAAAGCATACGATCACGTTGATTGGGACTTCCTAGATATGTGCCTAACAAAAATGAACTTCGGCTCCCAGTTTTGTCGACGGGTGCAAATCCTCCACAGATCGGCCACCACAAATATCATGCTCAATGGCCACCTCTCTGCACCGATTCAATTGCAGAGATCAGTCCGCCAAGGGGATCCCATTGCACCATTACTCTTTGTTATCGTTATGGAGGCCCTTGCTGCGCTTATCAGAGCCCATCCGAAAATCAGCAAAATACCGATCCCGGAGATCCCTGATCATCTTATCCCGATGACATCTCTGTTTGCTGACAACCTCACGGTCCTCATACGTGCAGATCGAGGCAGCCTGCAAACCCTCACCCAAACTATACACCTCTTCTCGTTGGCAGCAGATATGAAAGTGAATTGGGGCTCAAAGACAGAGGGCTGGTGGCTCCACCCTCAGGATGAACCTCTGCCACCGGCCCCGTGTGTAGCATGGGCGAGGAAAGAAGATGCTATAAGGATATTGGGAGTGAAGCTAACAGCGATGGGGCCCCCGGTGGATCATGGAGATAACCTGGTGAACATGACCATTGACCGCCTCGCGAAATGGGAGGGGCTGCACACATTGTTGGTTGGACGTGCGCTGACAATCAACAATGCCATCCTGGCGGCTATATGGTACAAGCTAGCGGTGTGGCCGTTGACACTGAAGCAATATACCCGACTGCGGAAAGCGCTCACAACGTATCTATGGAAGAACAGCGCAAAAGAGGAAGAGTGCTTGAACAGGGTAGGCTGGGACACTCTCACACAACCGAGATCCGTAGGGGGGATGGGGATACTTGATCCTCACAGGGAGACTTACGCAATGATGTTCAAAGTACTGACTAGACTCCTTGTAAGAAATGATATTCCTTGGAGACCTCTGGTCTGTGTGCAGATTGCAGGGCTGGCACCGGAACCGGTGCCCTCAGGTCACATACACCCATTCCAATGGCTGACCAACCATTGGTCAATCCCGAGCCCTCGCCGACAGACACAAGCTGGGGGTGCGTCACGTGCCATCAGGCAGGACATTCACAATGACCCTCTCTGGCCGACCATGATTAAGCTATGGAGAACGACTGGCTCCAAGCAAAAGCGAGCACCCAACAGGTGGCATAATGTGTGGAGGCAGCCACTCTTCGGAAACCCCTTTATCTTGAATGAAGATGGGTCCCCCTTTGTGCTCACAACCAACTCGCTGTGGCTGGTTTGGGCACACAAAGGGATTTATACGGTGGGTGACCTCTGGGATCAGGTCGAACAGAAATGGCTCTCACCGGATGTCAGGAATATTGAAGAAAAGACTCGCCAACTCACCGATGCACTGCCACTGGCCTGGCTGCAAACTCTTAAAACAGGTCCGACGATTGAGCCGCAGGACTGGGTGGTCAGATATGCTGACCTCCCACAACCGGACAAAGTCTACAGAGTCTGCAACAGAAATGGTGCGAGCTGCACACTGGAAGCCTTTGCTCTACACGTGTCGGGTAAGTGGCTCTCCTGCCTAAACCGGGATGCGGACTCCGACGTTACAGAATCATGGGTTGGATTGATAAATGTCAGAGTCGTGGGGGGCCAAGACGAAGGATTCCAGGTGTATGAGCCATCCATACCCGTGGCCCTGCTCCCATTCGACCCGGACGAATGGGAATGGAAGGGCCAACACAACCTGCACATGTGGGACTACACGGTCAGAGGAGGGTATAAGGCAGCCCGGCCTCAGCAGCAGATTGGGAAAACAATCGTGCATAGATGGGAACGGGATTCACCACTTGATGCACAGTTGCTAAGCAACCTTCCCTGGACCAAATATGCTAAACTCATGCCCACAAGCCTTAGGTCCCTGCAATGGCAAATCTTACATCGTTGTCTTCCCACCCCATATTGGATTGTTTCCAGAACTAACCTGGAGCAAAAAGGATTGTTGTCCCCTATATGCATTTATTGCGGTCGGGCTACTCAGCCTGCTAGGGCAACCCTTGAGCACTGTCTTCTGTCTTGCCCGATGGCAGCTCAAATCTGGAGGTGGTGGGATGCAGCGTTTCACTCCTTGACGGACCAACACATACCTTGGGATCTTGGCCTCATCCTCCTTGGCGAAAATCAACAACTGCTAGCAAACTGGTCTCCGTTTGCGGTTAATCTCTTCTCATATACGAGACTACATGTCCTCATGCAAACCTGGAGGGCACGGTGCTCCTACGAGAGAAAAGACTACCAGTTTGGATTGCAGAGAGCGCAAYAGGARATAGAGGAYGAGATCAGATCCCATACYCATAATGCMTGGAAGACCRTGGCACGGGAGTATCACGAMGAGAAGGATGYCAGTCTCAGGGAGGSTATCAGGGAATCGTATTGCCAGATATGGCAAGACCCCCACCGTCTCTTCTCTGCATTGCAACACGACCTCAGCATACAGTGGAAACACTGGAGAGCGGGGGAGCAAGTCTGGCAGAGGAAACCCCTGCAAGATTTTGCGGTCTCCTTCCTCCCGACCAACTTCCTGCTCATCCCGTAGACCCCTACCCCACATCTCCTCGCCCTGCTCTCGATCCCGCACCGCTACCGCCCCCAAACCTCTCGGAAATGCAGTAGAAGGAAGGGGCAACTACGTGACCTGGGTACGTCGGATCATCGGACGAGGAGTAACAGCAATCGCAGACCAGGGACCCGCCTCAAGATGCGGTCAGGAGATCAACACGACACCACAGGCCGGTGGCACAATGCACGGACTCATTGGACGAGGAGGAGCAACAGCAGTCGCAGACCAGGGAGCCGCCTCAGGTTGGGGTCAGGGGATCAACACTACAAGACAGGCTGCTTGCACAATGATCGGACTTCTCTCATCTGAGACAACCGGCACTACAGTGGTCTTCATGGTTTGCAGGTTTAGTGGTTGGGGGTGAGAGAGCCTACAATATGCGTCCCGGTTCATGAACCATTGTTTGCAAGTTACACAATGTGAGCATTGCCATCAGTTGTGGCAATAAGACCTGCCGTGGTCTTAAGGGTTTAGGGGTTAGGGGTTACCCATGAGGGATTGTTTACAGAATGCAGAGTGGACCTGGGACAGACTCAAAATACAGCTGAGCGCAACTTGCAACGGCTTCTCCATATATAACTCATACTGTCTCATATCGCTCACAACGCACTGAAAGCCTTTAACACGGACCGAAACTTACTGTTCTAGAGGGTGGGGGTTGGGGAATGGGGGTCATTCTGCYTGCACACAGGGCGGTTCATACACAGGGGTTATCACTTAGCTTCATGAGCAGAAACGGAGATAGTGTTCACTACATTTGGGCTGCGGTCACCCTCATGAGCCGAAATGGTGATAGTGGTCGTTACACTAGGGCTACGACCACCCGCATATCAAAATGTCCGGTGGGCAAGTGGCTAAGGAGGTAGAGTAGATGTAAGGCCTTACTCATGATTTGTCTCCATCAGGGTTGGGTCATCCTGCTACTGCTGCCCGTTTCATTTGGTCTGTGTACAACATGAAATATGATGTTTAGGGACGCTGGACCCGGTTTCCAGCAGGTGCAGCTCCCCACCAATAGATGGAGCCTCCCCGACTGTGGTATACGTGTCTGCTCTTATCAGCACCTCTATCACAGCTTCGGGTTGTTTCAAAAAAAAAACAAAAAAACAAAAAAACAAACAAACAAAGAGCTACCTCAAGCAGGCCATTATAACATAGCTATGCTACCATGCAGATACACAGCAGCCCAATTTTAGTAAGCGTTATCCCCCCATTCACTACCCCACACCTTCGCGCTTCCAACCCCATCCCAACCTCCCTGCATAATCTTCGAATTCACAACCCTTCCCTACCATCCTCCCCAGTCGCACCCAACCAATCAGCCCAAAAAAGGAAGACGAAAGAGGCGCTGGAAGAAAGTGGGGAAAATACCCACCGTTCACACTCACGACCCCATGAGTATCATTTTTAGCTGCTTCGTTATCGAAAATTCCGTTATACTCATCGCTGCTGTTGTTCTTGTTAGTGTTGTCGTTGTCAATCTCGTTGTCTATCATGTTCTCGCCGTCTTCTCCACGCTGAGAACCATGATCACCGTTGTAATTGTCGGTATCTCCATTGTAATTACCGTTATTGTTGTTGTCATTGTCGTTGTTGTTATTGTCGTCATCAATATTTTTGTCCATTTTGTTATCCTCGTCTTCTCCACACCGAGCAGCATCAACACCAGTGTAATTGTTGTTATTGTTGTTGTTGTTGTTGTTGTTGCTGTTGTTGTTGTTGGCCATAGCAGTAGTCCCTCCTCCCCTCTGAAAGCAATCTTCATCCTCCTCAGACCTTCGATCCTCCAAATCGCCGCACGGACCCCGCCCCTCCTCGAGCTCCACACGACAAAGTACACCATCCTTACCCGCGAAAGTAACTGAAACGCAGGCATCGTCAGCTCCTTGAAAACAGTCCTGCAACGTGGTACAAGGCGCTTGCCCCTCCTCAAGCTCCCCGCCGTGGCACCCTTTCCAGTCATCACTTCGCGTAAGCCCCTCCCGAAGCTGAACAAAGATTCCTCTCACTTTCCCAAACATATCAGTACAGTCGCGCAGCTCAGCTATCACTTGTGCACTTTCAGTACTGCCCAGGCGTTGGAGAGGGAAATTTTCATGGAGCTCCTCCTCCCATTCAATAAACAATTCCTCTCCCTCCTCCAACAGATCCACTGGTAGATTGCAGCAGTCTTGAGTCAGCACCGCGTACATGTCTTCCATCTGACGTTTATACATTCGTACCAACTCCAGCGGTGTTTCCTCCTCTTCAAGCAAAGCAGCAGCAACTACGTCCTGCATGATCGCCGCCTCCATGTCCATTGTTGTTGTTGATGCAGTTGTATTTGATGCCCCCTTGCCGTCATGACACCTGATGAAGTTGTTGTGTCGGTTGTGTAATCAAAGCCGCGCCCAAAGCAAACTCGCTGCTCCTTCAATGAAAACCTTCATCCCTCGCGCCGACGTGCCATCTCCTGAAGTGCCCCGTGGAGTAACCCCATCTACACCCGGGCCAAAGCGCCAGGCGGACACCAGGACGACCAAGCGCAGCGATGGTGCTCAACCATCACTGCCCTAGTCTGCGGAGTGCAGCCGGGCCTCGCCGACCGGTCCGCGGCGCAGGTTAGCGCTAGCAGCCTAGACATCTTGGCCGTGGCCCAACCAGACCGTGGCGTAGACCTTTGCCGCGAGAGCTGTGGAGATAGAGGGCCTTGCTCCACTACCGACCAAATGTGCAACATGAGCATGAATCTTCTGGTAAAACACAGGTAGATACACTGCTAGTAGTTTAGAGCTTGAAATGCCCTTTTTCCTGGGGAGGGGATCTGAGGGGAGGCACAGGGATTGGTCCTGTTGGCATGGTCCCTGATGCTACCGGCTGTCCCCTAGCCTGTATCGTCCACCTGCAGGCCGGGAGCAGCCCCCGCATGTTCTCTCATGAACACGGTTGTTCTCTCGTGTTCGGTTCTGGCTGCTACGGGGTTCCCCGTATGCCTACAATTAGGAGTAGTGGTAGGTAGGTAGTGTGAGGTGAAATTGAGAGAAGAGTATAGCTTCAAAAAAAAAAAAAAAAAAGAATCTGGGCTCCATCCAGCGTCCTAGCTCAATTGGTTAGGCACGCAAGCGGTGGGAGGTTGTGGGTGCAATCCCCATGTCTGCCTGTGGCACTCTTGGTGCCAACCAACAGAGATAGTGAGCTGGATCCTCCCAGTTGGTATCAGTAAGGTCTTCAGCCAACACGGGTGTGAGTGTGCGTGTGAGTGGGTTGCGTGTGGTGTGTGGGAGAGTGTTGGCTTTGGACACTACCATCCAGAAGGCTGCCCACCCCCCACTTCATAAGACCTTTGCCAAGCTTACTGTCTAGAACATAAAGCATGCTACTGGAATGGCTGCGTCCCCATGTTTGACGCGGTATAACATAACAGTCTGTGTGGCGAGGGAGGGGTTCCTTTGGACAAGCAGACTTTTGAAAAAGTCTGACACCTTTCGGAAAATGCCTTCATTCGAAAGGCGGAGAGCCCCTTAGAGGCTCGCCACACAGGCTGTGGAAAACCAGGTTCTCTACACTTTTGCATGGCCACACAGACTTTGGAAGAACTGCGGCTCAAAACAAATTCTACAGGTGTCAGAATGGTACGCCCGACGGCCACCCTTCCCCATTCTTTTCCTCCCGCCTGCAGGAGACGGAATTGCGTTTGAATTTGCATTGTCAGGGACTGTTCCGTGACACCCGTGCCCTGTCGAAAGGCGGAGTCCATTTGGCCATGACCAAAACCTTGCCCGTCGACAGCCCTTGTGGCGAAGGGGGGGTAAAATGTAGACAGCAGACTTTCGATTTTTTTCTGACAGCTGTCGAAACTCAAAGAGTTTCGACAGCGTGTGTGGCGAGCCTCTTAGGACTTTGGCAAATGTGTGACCGGTCCTGTACCCTTTTTGGGGGGAATTTGGGATTATAGGTATCGGTGTGAGTATGCCCTGAGAGAAGCATGTAGCTTACTTAAAAATAGAAAAGAAGAAAGAAAGAGAAAAGAACAGGACAATTTTCTACGGCGCCAAACCCTCCGCAACTGCCACGACATCACAGGATTTCACATCCTCCCACTCCAGCCGCCGCGCCCTGCTCGTGCGGAGAGAGGTGGGATCCCCTAAAACACTAACTTTTTACTTGGTAGTAGTAGTGTGGGATCAGATCCTTCGTCACGGATGCAATCCCTTGCCCTTCGGCGGGGAACTGGCCGGCTGGCCGACCTATCTACCCCGCCGATTTGCCATTTTCTGTCCTGCGAGAACCCTCTCTGCGCTGGAGCAGGCACGCCTAGCCCTCGTGCCTGCGCTCCCTGGCTCTGAACATCGCCAGCGCGGACTTGCCTCTCTGCCCATCCAACCAAACGCCCGCCTGCCTGGCTGCCGGTATTCAGGGCGTCGCAGCGAATGAACGTCGCCAGCGCGGGCGTCGTGTAACGTGTTTGCTCTTGCTCAGGGCCTGGCGAGAGAAGGGCCTGTCCCAAGGGGGAGAGGAGACAATTGTCGTGTTTTTGGTTCCAACTGGGCTACATTTGTTTCTCCTCTTCTGCCTCGGATCGCATTTGCTTTTCCCTCTGTGTCTTTTTCCTCCGTTTTCTTCCGTCTCTTCGCTCCTCGCCATGGGTGCGGAGATCGAGATCGAGATCTAGCGCGCGCGCGCGCGTGTGTGTGTGGAGAGAGAGAGAGAGAGAGAGAGAGAGAGAGAGAGAGAGAGAGAGAGNAGGGGAAAGGTTAGTCACGTCCTAAGGGGAAGGTCAAAGGGGGAAGGGGAAGGAGAGCGGGAGGAAGAAAGAGAAGGAGAGCAAGGGAAGGAAAGGGAGAAGGAAGGAAGGAAGAGGAAGGAGGGATGAGGAAGGAGGTCAATAGAGAAGAGAGGAAATAGCTGCGTGGGATTGTGGGGCGGGGGAGAGGAGAGGGTTAGGATGGGGAAGGTGACGAGAGCGGTAAAGTCGGTTACTCTTTGCGTGAGACCGCGGACTAAGGCGGATACATCTATCATTGGACGCGAGGGATTTAATCGGCAGGTCCGTTGTAATAATGCCACTTGGAATGTTCAGAAGTTTGGGTACGCTAGCAATGCCATCTCTACGACAAAGTATAATATGTTTACATTTCTGCCAAAAGCTCTCTTTGAGCAGTTTAGACGGTTGGCAAACGTGTTCTTCTTGGCTCAAGCGGCACTCTCGCTGATTCCTGACGTGACGCCTTTCAACCCCGTGACCCTGATCGGGCCCTTGGTGCTAGTGGTGGGTGTGTCGATCGCCAAGGAATGGTTGGAGGATTTCCGGAGGTTCCAGCTGGACGCGCAGGTGAACGCACGGAAAGTGAAGGCGCACGTAGGCGGGGGAGTATTCGAAGCAAGGAGATGGCGCGACCTGAGGGTAGGGGATGTGGTCATGGTGGAGAAGAATGCCTTTTTCCCCGCGGACCTCCTGATGCTCTCATCCAGCAACAACGAAGCGATGTGCTATGTGGAAACAATGAACCTGGACGGAGAGACAAATCTCAAGCCGAAGAAGGCAATCCAGGAGACGATTCATCTGAACACGCCGGAGGTTTTCCGGGACTGGCAGGCTACAATCCAGTGTGAACAGCCCAATCCCTCCCTCTACACCTTTGTGGCAAACCTGGATCTTAGCACTGGAATAGGAGGAGGAGGATTAGGTTTGGGAGGAGGAGGAGGAGGAGGAGGAGTAGGAGTAGGAGTAGCAGGAGGGGGAAGGGTGTTTTCACTAGGACCAGCCAATCTCTTGCTCAGAGATTCGAAGCTGAGAAACACGTCTTGGGTGTATGGTGTGGTCGTATTTACCGGCCATGACACGAAGGTTATGCAGAACGCTACCGAGCCACCATCAAAGCGATCCCGACTGGAGAAACAGATGGACTATGTGATCATCGTCCTTTTCTGCACTCTTCTTGTGATCTCGATCATCTCTGGCTTGGTGTATGGTGTTTGGCTAGATACCTTGGTCCCGGCATTTTGGTACCTTGCCCCGGGGGAGATGGAGACGGTCACTTTTAACACGCAGAAGCCTACACAATCTGGCCTGGCGTTGCTTGTCACGAGTCTTATACTCTACGGCTACCTAATTCCCATCTCGCTCTACGTTTCCATCGAGATGGTGAAGATGGTTCAAGCTATGTTCATCAATCAAGACATAAGAATGTATCACGAAGACACGAGCACGTGGGCGCGTGCCAGGACATCCAATCTGAATGAAGAGCTTGGACAGGTGGAGACTGTTCTTTCGGATAAGACGGGGACGCTGACGTGTAATGTCATGGAATTTTTGAAGTGTTCGATCGCTGGAGTATCGTATGGAAGAGGGGTGACCGAAGTAGAAAGGGCGACCGCCAAGCGGCTGGGAAAACTCCTTAAGGTGGAAGAAGAGGGAGAAGATGTTATGGAAGCAAGCGGCGGAGGAACAGGACTGGAAGGGGCGTTGTTGCTGCAGAAGTCTCAGCAACAACAGCAGCAGTGGATCGAGGTGTCCGGAGATACAGACTCCGAGATCTCTGGCGGATTGGGTGGGGTGATTGGCCGCACAGGGAAGATGGAGCCCCACAGCGCTCGGAGCTCTGAGGGAGGAACTGGTGACTGGATGACAACGAGTTCGACGATAATGACCAGCGTTGAGGAGACGGACGAGGACGATCGTTCTCGAGGCGGGCTTCGCGATGGCGGAAAGAAGAAGAAGAAGAGGAAGGGGATTAGTGGCTGGGCAGTGGCGAAGAAGCATTTTCATCAGTCGAACTCCTCATCCATGTCCTTCTCATCCTCGTTGTCAAGGCCATTTAAGAAGAAATTGGCTGGCGCCGAGAAGAAGAAGAAAGACAAACATCGCGTGAAAGGGTTCAACTTCAAGGATGAGAGGTTGCTGAAAGGAAACTGGATGAAACAGAGCAATCGGGAGCAGATAAGAATGTTTTTCCGCATCTTATCCGTATGTCACACCGTGGTACCGGAAGTAGATGACAGCTCAGGCGAGCTCAAGTATGAAGCAGAATCTCCGGACGAAGCCGCTTTTGTAATTGCCGCGCAGCAGTTTGGCTTTGTCTTCGTGAAGAGAACACCATCGGGGGTGCACATCATCGAGCCGATGGAAGATGCAGGAGAAACGCCCCCCGCGGACCAGCATCACAGGTAACCTTTTTCTCAATCACCTCAATGTTTTGATCGTTCAGGCAGAACTGTTGCAGATCCACAAGTGCCAATCATGCGATGACGACTCACCCTCAGTTACCATTGCTTTGCATACATCTGTCTAACTAAACTGATTGGTGTATGGGAAAAAAATGCTTGTTTGCAGCTCGGTAGCAGAACATTAACTCGAAAAGTGCACGTATGTGCCACAATCGACCCCATGTTCACAGTCTGAGACTTTCGTACTCTCAGGGTATTCAACATATCCTGTCTGTCGTCGCAAACAACCTCCTACTGTAAAGAGGAAAGCAGAAAAAAAAACAACTTTACTTAGCAGATGGCGCCTTGCAGGGTGGACTGCTATCCTTTCTCCTCCAGTTTCGATCCCCCCTTGGTCCTTTTCCCCGGCCATCCTCTCCTCCGCTTCCCTGCTCCTTTCCCGTCTCTTTGGCATCTTTCCAACTCCTTGACTGCAAACTGCCTGTCTATATCGTAACCCCGTCCACATGGGCATACTCACCATTACAATCTTCTTCGCCATCCCTTTCCTTTACACCCCGGGGATGCCCTGTTTATCTCTCATGATACCCCCCCNCCCCCCCCCCCCCCTCCCCTCCCCCTCAGTTGCACCGTCTTCTTCTCTTTCATCTGTTCCTACAGGCTGTCGGTTCAAGCCCGATAGTGAGCGTGCCCCCTTGATGAAAATCGGCAGCGAATGCAACCTGTCCATTGACGAGTCGTTACAGCCACCCCTGCAGGCATGCGTGTTCGTTGCCACTTGCACTGCCCACCCCATCCCCCCCTTTGTACCACACAGATGATGCTACTCAAACACCAGTTCACACCAGCCTAAGTTGATGAATCTATCTTCCAACAGGCGCGTTAGCCTCCAACTGGGACTTTCAATTGTGGCCCTCCGCCTTCACTACCTGCCCACGCCTGAATAGAAAGGCTCTTACGAGCTCAATTTAGGCCCGTGTTGTGAACTGCTGGTTTAATTGTGTGGGGTTGCGTGTCAAAAAGGATGAATACTGCTTCTTTGGCCGCGGTGCCCTTCACCCATGTGGGAACCATGGGTTGCGAAAGCTCCCCTTACGCCCTTGCCCATCATGCCTCCTTCCCCCCCCTGCGGAAAGTTCACTGCTTGATGCACAGCTACAAGTGGATGCTTCAATCACAGTAATGGGACAGGGCCTCACTGTTTGGAGTGTCTCTATGGCTGTACGTGGCTGACCATGAAGATCATGTCGATAACTGACTACGCATAGTGTCCTCCTCATCTCTGTGTGCTCGTTTCTATGGACTCGTGTAGACAGGCCTGCTGTTGCTACGCTTGTGTTGTGGCATTTTGTCATTCGCTCTGCAATTGGTGGCTCTTAAATGCAAATTTGGTAGATCGGACCATCCGGATAATCATCCACTGCTCACCGGCACTAATGGTTAATAGGTGGTGTCATTTTCGGCGAATTTTCACCCAACCTACCATATTTGAATGATATTTCCGATTTTTTTTTTATTTTTTTTTTTTGTGTGTGTGTGTGATATGTATGCGCTTTAGGGTATATCTTTGTTCAGTTTCGACGTATTTGGACCAGTAACGAAAAAGTTGGCAAAAACACCGAATTCGGGAAAAAAATGGACGAACTCCAAAAGCTACTCCGAATAGAGTTTTTGTTTTTTCGTGTTTTTTTTGCCTGTTTGTTTATTTGATGTTTGTATTAGGAGCCTGCATTGTTAATTCATGAAATTTTTGACGACATTGCTTGTGGTGATGCGGTGAAAAAACCCGAATTTTGGGCCTTCCATTGACCATCTCTCCACCGGGTCCTAATCTCTGTGCTGTCTTTGGCATGTTTCCAAGCCTGCTGTTGTGAGTCGTATGCTGTGTCATTTTTGGTCAATTCACTGCAATTGGATTCTTAAAATCCGTCTAATAGGATGTGGAAAATCATCCACTGCCAGCAGATACTAGTTACACTAGGACAGGAGGCGCTATTGTTGAGGGCCTCCAGACTGCAATGGCACAATGCCAACCTGAGATGCAGCATGCTCTCAAGTGTAAAACCTGGAGGAACGGCTTCACATCCTTTGCCTGTGTCGTTCACAAACCTGGTGGTAGACCTTGCCACCGACAATGCTCCGGTTTACACTCCTGAACGCTGAGAGCTGTGGAGCGATGGCGTTATGGATGAAGCCATGACTGATGCTGATTTCTTTGCAGTAGCTGCTCACTGTTTTACATTATGATCCACTTGCTCTCTTCACAAAATGGAGCTGCGTTTGCCTCCTATGACGTCCTCTTCGGTCAGGAGACAGGTGTAGTGTGATTCTTGGCCCTCAAGGCCATAGGCTTTGCTCAAACCACTATGATGGGCTGGCCTGTGCAGCAATGTGCACGTAGCAGACTGTCCCACCTTTCTTCACTGTATGCTCGCCTGCATCGTGACAAAGCATGTTCAATTTGCCACAGAGGGCGTTACACTGTTGTCCTTTCCTGCATCTGGCATGCCAATCGTGAGGCCTGCTTTTGAGGCATGATAGTTTGTGCCAACCATTGCGGCAACTGCTGCAACAAGGGCTCTGACTATGGCTCGCCCTGTCATTGCCCACACCATGTGTTGTTCCTGCCCTCTTTGCTACCAAGTTTGTTCTGAGCCCCCCTATAGCAGATGGGTGTATGGGCATTTTGTGCGAAGCCATGCAGGTGGGGGAACATTGTATTCATACGAAAGGCAAAAAAAGGAGTGCAAAGAAGAACAAATACGCAACGGAAACGTAAGAGAGCAAAGAAAGAAGAGAGCAAAAACTGAACAGAAGAGAGCAAAAACTGAACAGAAGAGAAAAGTGAGAGAATGAAAAGAGGGTGCCATCCTTGTTTTGTTTTGCCCATTCTCTGTGGCTAATTTTCCTTCCCTTTGTCTCACATTTGCTTGCAATCAATACCTCCAGGTGAGTGCTTGGATCGGTCATCTGACAACTTTGCCCTCCCTGTACAGGGACCTGGCCGCTTCATGGCCATCGGTCATGCCTCTGATCACTGGAAACTGTAGGACAATGACAACGGTCCATGTCATGGTTCATGTCGACAATTTCTTCTGCATTGATACTGTTCTCTTGCCTTGGCAAACCGTTTGCACAATCTTTTATTGTCTACCCCTGTGCTGGAACGGGGCAGTTTGTCAAGTCTTTTCGATCTCCTCCTCTGCAGAATCACTTTTTCTACCCGTGTCCCAGATCGGGGCAGCGTGCCAACACTTTGCAACCTCTCCTCTGCACGGTCACAGATGCTGTTACACCTGGCTTTGTTCTCCATTTTGCCTGCCAGGATCACTATGTTGGCACATATGCAGAGGGCTTCCCCCAGTGTCCTGATTGTGCACGCCTCTGCTATAAGGAACACATCTTTACCTGTGATGCCCATTGTTCTTTTGTCCTGGCCTGAAATCCACTTGTCATTTTTTGGGGAGCGTTTTGTGCGCATGGTTAATGTACATGGCCATGCAAATTGGTGTGTTTAGAATTCTTGCTGGGCTCGTCCTTGTCTTCACCCATTTCATCCCTATCGTGCTCGTCCCCTCAGTTGCCAAGTTCAGACTCACTACTTTCCCCCCTTTGTCATCCCTATTCTACAGCTTGCAAGTGTGCTTCTATTAGGCAGACGTTTGTTTGGCCACTTCCTGCTTAACTACACACACTCCAGTCTTGATAGCTCTCTGTCCTGGCAGATTTGAACGGCTAGGAGCAGGCTCATACTAGCGAGCCATTCTCCTTTCGTCGTTGGATATGTTTCGTTGGTTGTTTGTTTATTGAAAGGGTTCACGTTCGTTTGCCTGCTGGGATTCCATCGCAGACCCTTACCTGTGCATTTCCAGTTGACCGAGCTTGCAGAGATTTGAACCTCGAACCTTACCGGATGAAGTTCTCTGCAGATTAGACATTTGTGCCTCTTGATTCCATGACCTGCACCTGCATGAACTCATAACAAAGCCCTTAGTACGTTTCATAGGGTGTCAACAGGGATAGGGCATTCAGCAGGTTGCACGACACAACCCAGGCCAGGCCAGAATGGTACCAGTACCCGGCCATGTAACGAAACTCTTGTGTGGAAGCTGAATCGTCATTCTGGGGTGTTGAAGCTGGAGGACATTTGTGAACAAGAGGGACAGCCCTATTTGACCTACCGAATGAAGGAGAAGAGCCAGCAATAGCTGCTGTGCAAGGAGAACTGTTTGTATGCCATAGCAGTGTGTGTGAAGTGCATGCGTGTGCGCCGTTGTGTACGTCTATGCGTGCTACACTGTGAGTGAAAGAGAGCAGTAGTGTTGACGTGGGATCACCACGTCAGCACACAGACGTGCTGTGGCTGACTGGAGTCCTTGGGGACATGGGAGGCATCCTGTTGTGGGCAGAGTCTGTATCAAATGAAGACTTGCGTTGAACTCTGATTGACATCACTGTACCAGCGAGTGACAGAGCTTTGTGGATTTTGAAGTTTCGTGGGAGTTTCACTTTAAGCCACCAGTACCCCACCCAGGCAAAAAAAAAATTGATCTCCTGAATTCATGGAAGGTCTTGGCAGGCCTGGTGGAGGCTTGGTAGAGCCTCGGACAGGCGCTGGTGGTCGGCCGTTTCGAAAACAGAAACGAACGACCAGCACAACAAAAAAAAAGACACAAATGGCCGAAAAAAAAAAAAAAGACAGGGCAAAGAGAAAAAGAAAAACGAACTGCCTTTCAGCAGGGCACGGATGGCGGCGTCAAGTTCGGAAAAGTGGCCACCGGACACTGACACGTAACTCGAGAAATGGGGGCCCGCTCCACTACTCTCGACAAGACAAAAGTCATGGCTGTGTATCTTTCCATGTTCTAGGAAAAGATTCACTCTCGTTTTGCACAGTCAAGAGTAGTGGAGCGATGTCGGCACGAATACCCTTACAAGGGTATCCGCCCTGGTTTTTGCAAGTGACAGAAAATAAGTTTTGTTCAAAATTTGAGTATACC